GAACCTGCTCATTTGTCAGAAACTGAACTCCGACAAAAGCTCTTTGTGGGCCACAAGTTCCAAAGCCAGGAAGACTGCAGAGCGCTTGTTTCCGACTATGCCTGTTGTTCTGGAGTTCGATGCGCTAGGAGCTAAAATCTACACGGCACAGCGGAGCGCTTTTCAATTTCCTGACCACAAAGCTGTGAAGATATACAATGATGCCAAAAATATTGCAGCTCTGCCAATCCCACTTGACATTAAGCGCCAGCTGATTTCATCCAAAGTCATTCCCCAATGCACTTTTGCTGCTGACATCTCCTCTATTCCAAAACTGACATGTGCGAAAATTGAAAACGAGATCGCCAACACCATTTGGGGGAGGCGTCCCCATTGGAGGGCACGCGTGCTTGTCTTCACCTTTTTGCGCAACCCCTGTTTTGTACATCCTCGTGTTGCGAGAGCTTATGTCACTGTTGGGAATCTGTGGCGTGTCATTCACCGGAATCCCTCTTTGCTTGGACGCTTGCAAGCTTTGTTTCATGCGTGTATTGACCGTAAACATTCACTAATTGCCCACTTTCGTGATGCCCTGGCAGTTTTTAGATGTACTTTATTGCCTGACTTGAGTATTGGCATGGGCCATTCCCAATTCTCTATCCTTGATGTTCCCCCGAAAGACTTGAGAGGCTCCTTCACACCTTAGGAAGGCAATTTTGTGCGCTCCCCATAAAACTTTGGTTGCCCATTTTGACAAATCGTAGGGTGTACGATTACCAACGATCGTCGAGCTGCAGCCGGATTCATTGATTCTGCTGCTTGTCGCTACTGCCAAACCACTAAGGAATCGCTGCTGCACATAGTCAATGAATGCCCAGCAGCTCCAAGTTTCCTCACCTGCCTTCAGCGCCATGAATTGGGATAAAATTTTTGCGGTTTGGGAATCATTGAGCACCCAGCAAATGTTGCTACACAAAGGATTCAGTTGTCCGCGTTGCCGAGCTAGGACCAGGTCAATTTTGACCCCTTTGCTCCAGTAGTCATGTGGTTCTCTGATGGATCAGTCCTTCTGCAAGAGTCGTACTGGCTGACGACAGCCGCTTTTGCAATTTATGATCAAGACGAACATTTGATCATGTCAGGGCCCGTCAAACATGTTGCACTAGCCGCTTATACAGCGGAGCTCTTTGCACTTGCAGTTGCTATTATCATTGCTCCTGCACGGCTCCACCTTGTCACTGACTGCCAAACCATTGTGGACTTGTTTGCCAAAATGTGCACTTGTAGCACTATTCCTTGGCACTGGAGCCACAGACCTCTTTGGCTGGAAATCCAGCGTGTGTGGAAGCTGAAACTTGACCACTGTGAGCATCCAGTACAGCTTGAATGGATGCCGGCACATACATGTGATCACAAACCACTTGCGAGCATTGCCCATACGGACCTTTTTGCAAACGGTTGCCCTGGGTGGAAAGTACGTGTAAACCGTTTGGCAGATGAGGAGGCTAAACGTGTCGCGTCTCACCATGCCGTCATCAATGTCGACTTGTGGCCATCGGTTTTCGCTGCGGCCCACCGCAGACAGGCTGCCCTTGTGTCCTTAAATCAGATCATAGGATCTGAAGGCATCGTCAAAAAGGTTTTCCAGACCATTGAGGAAACTCAACAGTCCGACACCCAAGACGAGCATAAATCCAGATTTCCGACATGGGATTGGCACCCAGTCGACGCACATTTTGCTTGGACCTTCGGGAAGTGCTGTCCTGCGTCTCGGCAACTTCACGTCATCTGCAACAGTGAGGATGGTGATGCTTTTGGGCGCTTCTTGTGGTCATTGCGTTGGAAACTCCATCCTGACCACCCCATTGCATATGTTGAGCTTGTTCACATTTTCTTGTCACGACACTTCTCTCTCACTTCAATCGAGGCCACGGACACCTTTGGATCTTTGGTGAGATTGGTCAAGAAATGGTGCAGCGAAATTTTTGCAATTGAGGGCCAATGCTTGCTCCCTGGCACCCACAAGCGTGACGGCCATCACCCTTGTGGTTGCGCGCTGCCACGAGGGGCAATTTTTGGCGCACGCCCCTGCATAAGTGAGTTTGAGCTTCGGCATTTTGCCGACCTTCTCTTTGCTGGCGCGGGCAATTCCTTGTTGTCCTGGGACTTTTCGATCGCTGAACACGGTGCCTAATTAGTTTGTCTCTTTTTGGTGCTTCCCTAGCTCACGTTTTTTCACTACCCGTCCAGAGTGACGGTAGTGATGCCTAGGTCAGTCGACTCGGCAAGCATGGTGGAACAAGAAGCTACTAGCATCAAAGGGCATCGCTACTAGGAACAAGGGAGCTACTAGTAGCTCCTGGCATCGCTACTAGTAACAAAGGGCATCGCTACTCGGAACAAGGACGCTACTAGTTGTCTCCAGGCCGGGGCTCTGACGTGACCACTTCGGCTGCTGCGCTCTTTGGGATCGCCTCGGTTTGGGCGACTCATTTGGCCGGTGCGCGGAACTCGAGAGAGCTCTCCGAGACGCTCTCCGAGAGACCCACAAGATCCATGGCAGTTCGCATCTTGGCCACGCTGCCTATCACGTCCATTGCTCCTAGTAGTAAGGCCAGGAGCCCCTAGTAGCATCCTTGCTCCTAGTAGCGATGCCCTTTGTTCATAGTAGCGTCCTCTAACGCATGTTGGCCAGCACAGGTCCATTCCGCCAGCATGGAAACACTGTGAAGGTTACAGAAGGACCAGCGCAACTTTCCCGTTTGCAATCCGTTGCACTCAATGCCTGCACCAGGCTCGAAACTCAAGTTGAGAGCAAACTTCTCTTTGAGAAGACCTGAGAAAACGGAGAAAGGGCAGAAAATTGACTATTTCCTGACCGAGGACCTGTCTGTGACACTCCTTGCTGTCTTGTACACGGCTCTTGGGCTTGGGCGTTTTAAGAGCGGAAAGTCATAGGCATAGTTCCTAGGCGCACTTTGGGCGCTGCTCTGCTCGAGTTTGACTTGAGACTTGAGATGACATGGAATACGCTTTGAACGGCTGGTGCTAAAACAGTTTCTTGCAAATTAATAAACATGTTCTTTGGTGGTTCCTGCCCAAAGCTCAGCTTCCCCACGCCGCGCTTTCAGCAGCTGCCCACGCTGCACTGGAGATGCTTGACATCACCTCAATCTGGAACCAGACAACAAAGCTTGCCGAGAATGTGCAGAGGTCCAGAGGTGACGTGAGCAGCGTTTAATGTTCCTCCCGCCTGTGCACTCCAGTCATCCTCGGCATGGTGATGAAGATCTGAAGACTCCTGCGGAAGTGCGCAACATGATCGTGATGTTTTGTATCCAGTCTACACGTCACGCTTGAATGCAAATGCCAAAGCGAGATTCTTGTGCATATTCGCCCCAGTCCTCTCCAGCTTCTTGGCAAATGACTTTGATGTTGCCAGCACTGATCTGAGGATTGCAAAAGAATGTCAACAGTTGCCGGGTTGAGTCCAACAGGAGATATTTTTGCAGCAAGAAAACTAGGACACCTTTCAACGCACAAAGACGCTGCGGACAAGCGAAAAAGCGGCACGCCTCCACCCGAAGAAACAACTTGGGCAATGCCACTGCTGGCAAGTTCATGCCTTGGTAGGAGATACCGGGAGACAGGTGATGTTATCATGGAAGCTTCTCCCACTCTGCAGTGCGGAGAAGCCTCTTTGAATAGGTTTCAGAAGCATTTCGGTCCAAACCTAAAGCCTTGAAGAAAGCATTCTTGATGCGAAGTCATGTTGATTTTGAACGACCTCAGGCACCAACCCATTAAAAGTAGCGAGAGCTGGATTTCCACGTCCAGTAGTATGCCGTCACCTTGGACCGGATTTTGCATGTGATTGAAGCGTTGCCAGTGGCGTTCGTTGCATGGTATTACAACACCGTGGTGGTTTACAGAGTGTGAACGCTCTCTAGTATACCGAGATCACCTTGTTGTGGATGTTGATGTTGTGATTGGAAGAGCCCCAGTCTTGGTCCAGAACTGCACAGCACCGCTGTGCTTTCCCTGAGGCCTGGCACCAAAGGACAGCACAGCTGCTGCTCGGTCTCCTTCAGTGGGCCTTAGAACGAAGGATGAGGGCCTTTTCTGCTATTCTAAATGTTTACTTGTGAAAGATTTGCATTTGGTCAGCGGTCAAGCCATGCCAGACATGTGTATTGATGGATTTGATAGTGCATTCATGCAAAACATGTCTGTATTTAAAGCGCAGTGTATATAACTAGACTTGGGAGGGGAACATTCTTGCGTAGTACCCAGCAAGTCCTGGTTAAAACGAAGTCATCTAAACTTGCCGTGCAGGCAGTTATCGTCTGGCATATAGTTTCTGACACAAAATGAAGGGACTTTGGCAAAGTGGGTTCAGCAGCAAGTCTCCTAGACAGCCTGTCTTCTAAGGGGAAATCCTCCGTGGTTGTTGTTAAACAGAGCGATTTGTGCAGCATCAAACACATTTTCGAGATCGTTTAGAGGACGTGTGATAATGTGCCTTAATCACAACTGCGAGAGCCATTTACATTTTCAGTTGCTAACAGCTAATTCCTCATGAAACTTTCTGCTCAACAACTGGCTGGGCATGGTAGAAGAGAATCCTGGGGGTGTGGCCAAGCCAGCTGCCCATCCTTCAAATGGAAGCCTGGAGCGGGCAAGTTCTCTGAGCGACTGTAGTGCAAAGATATGGTCGGCTAGGAACATGTTTCTCAGGCTCACACAAATATGGATCCACCCATCCCTGGATAAATTGCAGTTCTGAACATGCCCGAACATCTTAAAGATAAGAACACAATGCAACAAAGGCACTGTATGCAGAAGGTGAAAAGGCAAGAGTTGGTCTTCGCGTCGTATGCCTTGACCTCGTGGGGTCAGTTCTACCATGCACAACTCATGTCGTTCATTTGCACGCCGGCGAACCATGCAATGAGTTCTAGCTGGGTGTCGAAGGCCCCAGCAGAAAGCAAGTCATAGTGCTTCAGAAGCTTGCCAACACCTCAAGCGGTATCTTGTGAGCCAAGCACTTTTCCGCGAGCTCACATCAAGGATCTAGCCCAATATCTTACTCACAAAGCTCAGTTGGCCTCTACGAGCACTTTGCTTTTCAACACGGTCCAGAGTTGAATCCTCTGATTGATCTGCTTGATCTATGTACATGTCCTCCTCGGGACTCCTTGGGAGCAAGGGCTGGCAAGGATCCCAGGTAACTTCCATGTTCATTTTTGAATATGGGATATGCCTTGCAACTTGCAACTTGACTTGATTGCACTACACCAATTCATCAAACCACCTGAAAATGTAGGTGGTACTAAGAGCTTGCTAAAAGGAAGATGCCGGAAGGCCGAGCCCACAAAGCTCATTCCTTAGCTTTGGGCGCGCAAAAGTACAAATAGTACGATGTCGTTCAATCATTGCTATTTAGAAGAAAGCATTTGAAGCCTTTGCCTATTGAAGACATGGCTCTAAAGCTCTTTCGTTGGAACGTCGCATCAGCTTGCCAATGAAATGAATCCCAGCCTCAGATGATATATAACATGTTTTTCGCGGAAAGACAGTTTGATCTCGGGAACATTTCTAAGGTCACTGCTCTTGCAGCATATGCCAGGGATGCACCATCCCTCTGCACAGATTCCACCTCAGCCCTGTCCACAGAAAGCATCCAGTGCATTCAACAACCCGACAGGCATCGTAGACTCCAAAAACAGCCGAGCTCTGCCGTGAGCATATATAGAGTTTGATGATTCACTGCCAGAAAGCTCAAGACAGTAGAATATTCTTGCTGCTGTCTTTTAAATTGGAGTCATCTCGAGAACTGGAGTGCCCTGGCCTGGCTTTGTCTGCTTTGCACTTTGCCTCTTCCAACATCCGCTGAGCACCTGTCCACTTCAGTCCACTTACTTCCACTCTTGCCAATTGCAAAAACACAACTCAGAGTCTACAAGCTTTTGTGAAGAATAAGAGGACAAAACGCTTGAGTTTTCAGATGCATTTTCACGGATGACCAGTCTGACCTTTGTAGGCATGGTTTGCTCTACGCCATTCAGCTGCCAAGTGTACAGCATCGCGTTCATCCTGATGTCTCCAGCTTTGATGCTTTTGCCACATCTGAAGCATTCGCCACCATTGGTACCTTTGGATGTCTTTTCATGTCCTTGCACCCCCTTCAACATAGTTGACTCCCAAGTTCTCCACCAACACAAAAGCATTTCCTGTCAGCTTTATCCAAGCAACACGCACCGCACTATGAGAACTGCGAGCAAGATCAGCAGAAACCAAGACACCTGGAGCACCTGTGAAGTCAATAAACACATGTTGGTCCAGCGGTTCACTAGAAAACATGCAAATTGCTTCAAATTGCTTGCTTGACAAATCGAAGGCCAAGCTGCCTGCGTCACCTCCACGAGGCTTCCAGCGATGAGGAGCAACATCCAGAGTCGGGAGCATCGGGTGAATGATACCAAAGTCGCAGCCTAGGCAAAGCAAACAAAATTAAGTTATTTTTGATGCAATAGGATCCATTTCTGCGTCAAGTGCTCATTATTTGTATGCATATATACATATGTATGTTTTAAGAATCTCATAGACAATGATAGGATGATGTTGACTTCTCGGTACAGAGCTCCAAGATCCAAAGACACTGGTATTTTTTGGTTTTAGACACTCAGACTTCTTGGACTTGGACTAAGCTGCCAAAGCCATGGGTAGTGCGCTCAGCAAGGGGTAAGGTACCCAGGCAACGGCCCAATAGGCAGTGTGCGTATGTCGCAGCCAGCCACGAAGGGCCACGCCCGCCAACACTGAAAGTGCCAAGAGGGTCCCTGACACTGCACCTCTGCTGCTCTCAACCTGGCAAGCATTGGCTTATTAATGTTTGAAGCTGAAGCTATAAGCTTTGGCATCAAAGCAAGACTCACACGCCTCCAAATCTGCCAAGCGCTTGCTTTCTACCTTTCGCACTGCTTCCTGCTCCTTCTGCTCCTTCTCGACTGCAAGCAGCTCGCGGTGCCTGACAAGCGCCAGTTGTCAGACGTACCGTACCGTTCCATACGTCAGCTCAATCATAGCCTTGCAGAGACTTCGCGTTCCAGGCGCATCTCTTCTGCCTCCATACAAGGAACGAAACAAGCCGAAACCAATCTATAGCGACGCAAAGTCAGAAAAGGCAACAGGTGAGATTGTGGCAGTTTCTTCTTTGGGGCATGAGAAGCTCCACAAGGTGCATTGGCCGAGGCACCTCTGCCTCATTTGCTAGAGAATTCAAGCCAGCACTCACGGCGCTTCGGACGGGCTCCGATTGAGAGCATCGTTCAGAGACACCTCCCAAAGCCTGTGGGCTAAGGTTCAAAAGGAGTCAAGTCAAAAAAGGCAAGGCATCTTGCCAAAGGTTACATAAACATGAGGCATTTGTGGCTTTCCGACATGACATATGTGTAGGTTCGCCTCCATGGCAGCGTGGATGTGGGGTGTCACATGCCTCAGTGCAGGTCTTCGGAAGAGCTCCCAAAAGAATCAAGTATGGTCCAAAGTTGCTCCCAAGAATAAGTGAACAAATTGTCCTATTTGCATGTAAGATGCTGTGCGACGGCTGCAGACGTCTCCGAAGCAACTCTCTCCAATCGATTGGTGAACTCGTCTCCAAACGTCTCACGGAACAGGTCCTACCCGTTTGAGGTTGTCAGCTGATGAGTCAAACAAGGCGACTGGTTCACTAGCTGCTTAAGCAGCTACTAGCTACTGGACGCAGGATAGCTCACGCTCGCACTATTCATTTGGTTCCTAGATTTTTGGGAAACTTCACTCAAACAACTCCTTGGCCATGGTAAAGGTAAATCCATCGTCAGACTCTTGTGGACTGGACCACGATGTACCTTGAAAAACCAGCCAGAAGGGAGCAGGATTGCAATGAGGACTGCTAAATGATATTCAATCTGAAACCATTCATATGTCACGAATTGTCAAGGTGCTCCAAGTGGACTTGTTGTCCAAGTCGTAATCATAGGCAGCTCGCTTGGCAGGGTCACGAAGACAAAGATATGCTTCTCCTATGGCTTTGAAGAGTTCAGTTGCTTCCGCAACCTGGCCTGTCATCCATTTTGACAAAAGTCTCGGTTGAAAGCACATTGCTAATCTTCTCAAATGATCCAGATGGGAGCCATGTTTCTCGTTCATGTCAATCTTCAGTAGAATACTATGTTGGCAAGATTTGAGATTCCATATCGTAGTGCATCTTATCACACGTCAATTCTTTGGAGTACAGTATCCACGGTGGCAACCACCTGCCTGGATTCTTGTCGGGATGGTGCTGTAAAGCCTTCTTTTTGTATGCTCGATGGATTTCAGCGGCAGTTGCATCCCGGCTTATATCCAGCAATTCGTAGTATGACTTTGGCCTCTATGCAATGTGGAGGCAGGATGCAAGTGTCACACTATCTCATCAACAGCAAATCCTTTGTGACAGTGGAGCCAAGTGGCATCTGCAATTGTGTTGCGTCTCAAATAACTTAGTCATTGTATCTTCTGGTCACATGCACATCTGTCGCCATAAATGAAGCTGACGACGCACTACACTAAATGAATGCTAGATCCAAATCAATCTGACTACAACAAACATACACTTGCAAAGGCCTTGTGGTATGCAAGGTAAGTGTCTGAGGTTCCTGTACCGCATTCTCTGGTGCCTTTTCATCGCAACTCGCTAGTCAGTGCTGTTGTGTGCCATCATGGTAACACACACTCTGTCCTGTCATGCTGTCCAGGTAGCACAATGGCTGCGGTAGCTTGCGTGTCAAGAGATATCCTTTGCCGTACTATAACCGACTCTGATGCATGCCTAAGTGGGAGATAAACTAGGCCATCGCTAGTAGGTTGGAGGGCAAAGAAAGGGTTTGGGAGGACAGTTGGCTTTCAGGATTTTTTGTGATCTCTAAGTCTCAGGCGATGATAATGCTTGCTGAGCGATTTGAAATCCAAAGGAACCTTGCCAAAAAGAACGCATCGATATCATCAAATACTTGCAGGTGGATCTGCATGATCTACTGTTTTCGTTTTGTTGCAATCGAGTGGAAAACATCTGGTGGATCTGCTTGCTGGGGCTCCACTTGGTTGGGTTTTGGACCTCATGTCAAAGAACCCCGTGCGATGAGCACTAGCAACCAAAAAAGTCCTTCAAAAGATTCAAAAGGCCTTGCTTGGTCTTTAGGTCTTAAGGTCTTTCAATCACGTGTGCTTGTTACAAGGAGCATGCATTCTGACCTCCAACTTCAGACCTTGGGCCGACCTTGGCATCCACCCTCAGGACATTCACGGAACCATCCACGTCTTGCAGTGCCTCGACGCCTGAGTGTAATCACTTCAAATCAGTTTCTACATGCGTGGCGTTCATCGCTTGTCACTTCATCCAGTCTTCTAGCATGGCAACTTTTTGGACCCACAAGGTGGGCTCTCCAGAATTCCATTCTAGTCTGGGCTGGTGTGTCAGCCTCTTTGGTTTCATTCCTTTGCCAATCTGTGGATTGACAAGTTGAAGGTTACATTTGCAAATCGCACAAGGGTCACTCCCAAGCTGGACAAAGAACTTGCTACGTGTGACGTGCGTCCGTCAAACAGGCTTTTCTTGGTGGTGAAGTGCGCAAAATGGATGTGGGATGGACAAGAGGTGACGGCGTATTGAACCAGGGTCATGTTAAGGGATGCGCCAGGGCAATGATCACATTTGCTGTTCTTGCTGCAAAGATTATGCCATTTAGCCTGTATAGATCTATATAGTATATTGCGAACAGGTGTATTTTTTAGCTTGAAAGAAGCAACAATAACAAAAACTGTTCTCCCAGTCCCATGCCCTAATGTTGGTGTTCCGTCCTTGATGGTTCCTTGTGGGGATGCAGGGCTTTGCTCATCTTTTCATGTATCTTTGAGGATTTCTTCAACCCTCGTTCCCTTCGCATTTGACGACAAAAATTGAAAATGACCGCCAGAAAGCGGTCACAAGCAAAGGCGCAAACCGGAGGATTATTCAAGATGTGGAGGTAAGCAATCAAAGTACTAACTAGGAACCTGAAATAGTCATGGAAGTGGAAAACCACTTGTTTGTAGAGGAGAATGGTCATCCAAGGGGCCACTTTCCATGACCTCTTTAGGGAGCATAGGTCAGGCATGGAGATCTGAGAATGCACACCATACAAAGGCTCTGGCGTAGCTCCAGGGACTTCACGTCCACAACTCGGCGCAACACGGCCACAAGTTGAGGCCTTGGGGAGCAGTCACTTGGGCAAAGCTTAGCGCAACAAATATCTGGGACCCTTGCGCAAGCTGCGTCACCTAGACACTGACACTTACATACACTGACAAGAAGCTAGTAGGAACAAGTGCATCGCTTCTAGTAACAAGTGCCTTACTAGTAGTAACAATAAAGCTACTAGGAACAAGAAGCTATTAGAAACAAGTGCATCGCTTCTAGTAACAAGTGCCTTGCTAGTAGTAACAATAAAGCTACTAGGAACAAGAAGCTATTAGTAGCAAATTGACAAGAGGCGAATTGATCGGTTCCAAGGATCCAACTGCATGTCGAACGCGTCGGGAGCTATCGCAAGCGGGTGTCCGACTCTGAGCTGACCTGTCCCAAAGCATCTAGGTCACAGAAAGCCAGATAATGTCATGAGAATGAAAGTTCAACCTCATGCTCCTTTGCAATCAAGACCAACCCTATGGTTTGGATTGGTGTCCAGTATAGTGAAGAACATTTACCTCTGCTGTCCAGCTAAGCCCCAACGTTATGTATGCTGCAGTGGAGGGCCGAGATCGTCGACGAGGCTTGATTTGTTTTGGCTCATCAAAGGCTGCAAGCCTCAGAAACCGCCAAGATGGGCCAAGATGTTATATAATACTTCTCATTGTATAATTTCTATACTTTAAAAGGTGTTGTCAGCCGTGAGGGTAAGTAGCTCGTAGCAAGAGGGGTAAGTAGTAGCAGCTCAAGTCAAGCTGCTACTTGCTTGGACGCACAAAAAAAAAATGGTTCCTAGATTTAGGGGAAACTCAACATGTCTCCTGTCTGAGCAATGAGCAAAAAAATAAGAACGAATTACAAGGCCGCTCTCCTTTGAGGTGTGGACAGCAGCAATTCCAAAGCACATGGAGATGCTTCCAAGAGTGCCATGGCCTATGAAAGTTGCCGAGCCAAGAACATCACCATCCTTCAACTCGCTTTTCATCTCTTTTCTATGAAGCAGGGTCTTGGGGTTCTGAGGTCTCCAGCCTCTGGGAACACCTTGATATCACAACCGTGGGCAGCATCCAAGCGAAAGTCCTCAATAAATCGTGGGAGCTCTGCGGCACCCCCTGTGGAATAAGCTGCTTCTAACACACCGAGCTTCCAGCTAGAATGCTGGGCTCATCATTCTGGTTTAGGATCCGGAACCAAGCCTCAATTTTGGTTGCAAATCTTGCTAGTTCTAGTTCTGAATTCAAGCAACCTGAACATTGAGCAACATTTCATCAACTGAACTGCATCTTGCAAACCTGAAAAGCATTAGCCAAGGCCAGGGGGTAAGCAAAGAAGTGTGCAGTCATTTTTGTCCTCCAGGCGTGCCGTGGAATATTGGTAAGTGCCTATCCAACAGTTGGACAACTTCTAAGTGGCCAAATTCAGCCACAAACTGGACGCTGTGCGACAAGACAGCATCTTTCTGAGCGCCACTGTGTAGCAGCATTCATACCCCTTCCAAGTGATCATTCTTCAGCTGCAGCAGCATCCTTTCCAGCGCCACTTTATCAGCAACCATTGCACTATTTCCAAGTGGCCCCATTGACCTGCAAAGTGCAAAGTTGTTGCGCCTGCTCCATCTCCACTCTCCAGCAGCAAGTGCGCCACTTCCAGAGCCCGGTTGAACGGAGAACTGTCTGTCTTCTTGCCCAAAAGCCCAGATCTGAAGATCAAAAGGTCTGGTGGTTGTTCTGCCGAGCTTTGCAGTCTTCTTGCGCGAAAACAAGGCCTGAAGGTAAGAGGGTGTTCTTCTGTCCGTCTGAAGGTTCCAGCGTTCCTTGTTCCGTCTGCTGTGCACTCAGATTAGCATCTTCACCTTCTAGGTTCCTTCGAACCTGGTTCTGCCTGTTGTGCCCTGAGGCTGGCTTCTAGGTGCCCATGTTCAGCTGCAAAGTGCAAAGTTGTTGCACCTGTTTTGTCCTGCATTCTCATCAGCTGCACTCATGCGTTCCTCCTGTCAAAAGACTCTTTGCTCCAGTCTTGGCTGCAGGGCCGTCACATTGTCCTCAAAACCTTTACTCTGCTCCACCGGAAGCAGTTTCAGCTGCCAGAAGATGCTTCTTTGCTCTCACAGGTTTGTCTATCATTCATTATTGAACGTAGCTCCTCCTCGTCAAGCTCAGCAACTCGCTCCGAGACAAAAGTGACACATGCCTATGAATTACAGTAACATGATCCCTTATATAAATGAATGAACCTGAAGCAACCTCACCACCAAGCCAAAGCGATTCGAGCCAAAATGGTCACAATAAAAAACGTACGGCATGCCTGCACTGAACAAAATGCCGAACATGATCGGCCAAAGTTTGTAGCAGTTGACATAAAAGCACAAGCGGGTTCATTACCACGATCGTATCCAGATCTATTGTTCTTTCATGCAGATTCGTTCCCCTAGCAAAAATACATTTTAACGAGTAGCTGCTTCAGCGAGGTGACCTCATGTGCCAATGTCGCTAAGTGTTCTGTCGAAAAAGATGCGAGTGGAACTGGGCCCAGGCCCGATTTGACAAAGGGGACTTTGTGGTTTGACCCGCAGAGTTTCGACGCTTTCGGATGTCTAAGACACCGTGACATCAAAAAACGGAACTGCAGTTGACCCAGCGGGTCAAGAGTAGAAGAGTCCCACAGGATCCACAAATGAATGACATTGGCATCGTGGAGATGTGAAAACGAACCAGGTCACAGGCAGTCAAAGAGTCCACGCCGGCACTTCTGAGAATCCTGCATCGCCACTGTGGGCGCTGATGCTCTGCTCTTCCTCCTCACCAAGCACACCATCTTCACAGTCTAGATTCTGCCGGGCTTTGAAAATCCAGCACAGCACGCGTTGGCTCCCTGAAAGGCCTAGTTGAGCTGTATTTTCAATGTCTCGTCAGATCCTACGGTTCCACCACAGCTGATCAAAGTATTTGACTCGTAATCGTAATCAGTATCCATCCGCACTCTCCCTGCTCACAGTGCGAGCGTTCTTGCAAACTGTGTCCTTAAGTGTCATTACGCCATTACGCCACTATGCTGTTTGGTGGTGGATGCATTGTGTTCTACTACGCCACTCCCAGTCGATACCCTAAACCTAAACCTAACCCTAAACCCTTGGTGTATTGGTGTATCGGTGCGGTTCTGTGTGTGTGTGCGTCGGTGTATCGGTATGTCGGTTCGAACGCGTTTATAGGGACACGCTTTGCAGGCGCTATGCGCACGAGGCAACAACCAACTCTATGCTCTAGTAAAGGATAGTAAAGGCCATGCCCTGCCATTGTGTGATGGAGGGACCTTGCACGGATTCACTGGTGGAAGCGTTGGACTCTGGCCACGCAGCGAACATCTCAACCCTGGCAAGTCAAACTAAAGGGTCCAAAAGGTGTAAACCAAGATCAAACTAACCGTCAGTGCGCTCCAGACCTGAAGAAAAGGCAGCAGCAACAGTCCATCGCGTGTAGCAGTGTAGCAAGTTCGAAAGCCATGCAAAAGCCTATCTATCATTCCTCCTCAAGCAGTTCTTCCTCTGAAGGCCGTTGGTCCAAACCACCAGCCACCACCTTTGTTTGAAACTGCGGTAGAGGCTGAGTTGCAACGATGCTTGGGGAATGGCCTCCACAGCATACATAGGCGTTCCACGGAGCCAAAACCTTCCGTGGTAGTGCAAATGATGTGATTATGATATTGCACAAGAAGCGACAACTCACAAGTGATGCAATGAAATTATATCGATCAAAGGTGTGTGTACTGTGGATGATGCCGCATCGTCAGCTTTCTAGAAATTCTGCTGTATTGCACATGGGCAGAGGACGTTTCATGAACCAACTGAATGAAAACTCATACATTTATAGGAGCGCTAATGCGAAAAGCGCGCCACCTTGTTATGTTCGCTCCTTCTTCTGGCCGTCCAAACAGCATCTCGCCAGCCTTTCAGTTACAAATTGCCTGGCATTCAGAAAGGAATTTTGGCTGAGCTCCTCACGCAAGAGGCGACATCATCTCGTTTTGCAAGAACTTTCTCAAATAGTTGGGCATGCTGCGCGGGTTACAAAGGTCACGTCATGAGTCATAACAGGCAAGAGTACAAACTCACACCCAGCCTCCTTAATGTGCCTGCACAAGCAGAGAAATTCTAGGCCACTTCCACATCAATTCAGCATTCTCACTTTTTGGCAGACACGTGCCTCGAGAGAAGCTGAGATGCAACCGGCCGAAGCCTGGCGACACACAGGCAATAAGCGGATACACACTTCCAGTAGTGCCTTGTAGTGCAATAGCACTGCTTGCAACACAAAGTCTATATAATATATATATATACATATATATGACTATGTGTCCAAACACCATCTACATTGATAGACCAAGAAGTCCTCACCAAAACTGCCGCAATCACAAAACAGTTGCAAAGGCACACAAATTGATCCTGCTTTTCTCAACCAGCAGCAGCAATACCAGAAGCAACAATAACTACTGTACCACCATCACTGCAACTCTAACACTTTGCCGGTGTTGCAAGTCTCGCGCTGTCGCAACCTCTGGCAGTTCCTAGCTGGCTCTGAAACTCTCCAGAAGTCTAGTGCATTGCAAAGAAGACCCCATGTCTCAAGGACGGGTGACCATGGGCCATGGGCACTAGCCAAACTCGAGAAAGGAAGCATTGCTCAACTCCTCAACTTCACTGTCGCACTCGTCTTCCAACTCCTGTCTTTCCCAACAGAATCAACATCGGTTGAGGAAGCAAACAATTGACTCTTCAACCCGCCTTGGCTCCAAAAAGCCTCCGCCGCCTGAGTCGCTTGGCTTGCTGCTTCAGTGGCTGCCTGGCTCGCCCTTCTGTATGCCTCCCGGTGAAAGTTTCCAAAGCAGAAAAGAAAACTTCAGGAATCCGAAGAAGTGGACTGCATTCCTATCCAGTTGTTCTTCCACCAAAGTAGAAATGCTTTTACATGCACTTGTGTCATTTGTCAATGCCACAGGAAAAGTAGACTCAAGAAATTGCTGCTGGTGATGTTGATAGCAATATGAACACACGAACACACACACAAACCACTGCATTAAGTGCTCTTACTAGTTCTTTGAGCCAATTTGCTGTCTTTCCGTGCTCTTCAATCCGTCGGAACCTTGGACACATTGCTGATGGCTTCGTCGAAGTCAAAGGTACCAAATGACATGGACGACATTGTAGCAGCTTCATGCCACAAAGTCTGGAAATCTCTATTTACTCAAAGTGCCTGCAATGTTTTGTTGGAACAAACAAAATGGCCACTGCTTCCTTTGCCGGAACAACACCATACGCAGCGCTATTCCCCAAATGTCACGTACTATTTTTCCCCAAATGGCATGAGAAGGCTTTACTTCAATTCTATTACGCTGAAAGACACAACGGGCTGCAAAACTTTCTCAGCACATTTTTTTTGATGATGCAGATACCCAGCTGTAAAACTACAGTACTTGCAGTTGTTGTAAAAGGAATGTCTGACAACTCTGGCGAGCCCTCTATGAGATTCTGAGCCAGGCTCAAGTGCTCACAGTGCAAAGCATGGACTGCAGTCAAATTCATATTCCTGTTGGTCATGAAAATGAAACGAAGGACTCCAAAGCTGCATCCTGCCGAAGCTGGTCGCGGCGAGTAGCTTCAACCTGCTTGCGTAGCTGTTGTTGCCTCAGCAAGTTCCAATTTATGTATATAATCTATGTATAATGTACCTTTTTGTAACTTGAGAACCTCAAACATTGAGGCTGTAGAAAGCTTGCCTAGGTAAGTCTTTGAGTGATACTTGAGACACAATCTTTTCAAGCAAGTCAGCGAGGTCCTTGTGATTGAAGCCACGTGCTAAAGCATACAATACCTCTTTCGGAGTCACAGGTTTAGTTCAGGCTTGCGGCTTGAGCTCCAAGAAGTTGTATATAGCTCTCTTCCAAAGGTTCATTCTACACATCAGGAGCATTTCACGCATGTCATATCCATGTCTTGAGTTGATTCTGCGGCTATCCACTCTGGGAACTCTGCGGCGATCCACTTTTGCGCCACAATCCCTGGGAGAGCCGGACACCAGCGCCAACTCGGTTCGGTCGCCAAGGCCAAGGAGTTACTGCTCGGAAATCTCCGTCTCACCCGGAGGCTTCACATCCACCAACTCCGTATCAAATATCAGCGTCGAGTTGGGTGGGATTTTGCCTTAGTAGATCACTGAGCTGAGTGCTACAAGAGTTGGTCATCCAGTGCATGCTGTGTTAAGTTTGAACTGAACCTTTGCTTCTGTCCAACACTTGAATGCCTCGATTTTGCTTGCCTGCTTTGCGTGGGTGTTTCTTCAGGGAAAACAGGCATCGGGGAAAAGATGAGTCTACAGCAACATTCTTCTCCAGATCCATGTCCAGGCCACCAACTCTCTGATCACCATATGCCAAATCAGCAGGGATTCGAAGTCGACGCTTTCCCCCAACTCGCATTCCTTCAATGCCTTCATCCCACCTGCACAGATTGTTCGAAGAATGCATGATCTGTTTCTCTCTTTTGGAGTTGCATCTTCATCTGCTGAGGCACCCAGGAATGACCTTGCCGATGCCAAGCTCGAACTGGATGGGCTTGTGCTGATACTTTGAGGAATCGAACACCAGCCTGGCACCACAGAGCTTGCACTGAAATTGAACAAGGCATTTAGCCCATCTCTCAGGCTCTCTCAGGCTCTCTAAGGCTCTCTCAGGCTCTCTAAGGCTCTCTCAGGCTCTCTCGGGCTCTCTCAGGCTCAGGCCCATTTAAAAGTCGACCAGTATAGTTCACCGACACAGTGCTTCCGACTGTTGCTGCCTCTCCAGCACCAAGAACCTGAAGATTGGATGACAAAATTGGGATTTCGATACGCGAGACAACAAGGTTAAGCATAACGCTCAAGGTGATGAATGAGGAAGAACCAAACGAGACAGCATCAGAGATTAAGAAAAGCAGGGCGAGGTGGCATCAGTCTTCGAGTGGGATGATTTTTTGATGTGGTTTGTTGAGGCAATGCAAAGTGGAACGAGTGGATGATTCAACACGAGGTAAATTGGCAAAAAGAGCAGCGGATGGATACAACAAAGCAATAGTCGCTTTCTGAAAGAGATTGCAGCCCTTGAATCTTGATCAACATCAGAGTGTGATCGTAGATTGTGCAGTCACAGCCGGCAAGGATTTTCTCAGTCAAAACAGCTGAGCACACATGTATCACTGAGGACAATATCCAACTGTTCAGTTTGCAAGGTTGTGGAAGGTCGGCCGGAATTCAAAACATCCCTTCCCCCCTTTGCATCCAGCCCAGACTTGTTCACTTCATTCATTAGTCTGCGACGCTGCGATGCTGAGAGACCAAAACATGCACATCGTCCCATAGTCTTGAATCTGAATCACATAATATCCCTTCTAAAGATCATCGAAGTAATATGCAGAAGTGTTGGGTCGACATGACGCAAGGTGGAGATGCTGTTGCCATATCAGCACCCAGGTCTTAGTACGAAATTGCTGCTACCGGGAAACAATCAGGCGAACCTCCCCGCAATTCCGATGGAACAAGCACAGGCCAGAATCACTGGGCCAGCAAACCACGTGCATACAAAGGAAATCAGTCTGCCCGTACAGAGCAGTTGTGCTAGCCAGTTTCTTCAGATCCCGAAGTCCCAAAACGTGCATGAGGAGAAAATCGCAGAACAAAGTGAAGAAAGAGGTCGCCCTGACCGCATTCTATCTATATAGGTGGGTACAGGTGGGATTGAGCAAAGGAGTGGAGGGTGACTTGAAGCGGAGTGCTGGTCGAGCAATTGTAAAGAGATGGCTCTAGACATGTCCAGAAGACCTACAGGCAGAAGACTCTTCACTAAAGCTATAGTTCGTGTGAGCAAGTGCAACAACTTCGTGCAACTGGATTTGAATCGAAGCTGGCCTCGTCCTTGTATGATAGCCCAGAAGGGAATGACATCCACGAATAGGCCAACCCAGCTCTAGAGGGTTTTTGGAAGAAGCCTCAGGTTTGGATGTATAGATACTTTGAATCAATTGAATTTGTGTCATGATTCCAGCAAGCCTCCTGCATGGCCAAGCAGCTTGATTCTGAGGTGAGATGGCCAGGAGCGCGTTCATTTGAGACATCCCCAAACAAGAATGCCCGTGCTTGCTTTTGACCACGGGTCAAAAGCTCCGGAAGGACATTGCTGCAATGCCTTACCTGCAAACTCCATTCAAAACAAAGAACTCACAGGGCTCTCAGACAGCGATATCAACCTGTGAATACCATTTTGATGTGGTATCTCGGTATCCGCAACATTCTTTGGTGGGGCTAACAATGGCCAAAGCAATTCCGTTTTGTCCGTGAAGCCTGCCTGCATGAAGGTGTGAGAATCAAGGTCATGATCAAGGAAGCGATGTGGCAGCCGTGGCATGTTGCGTTCCAGCCAAAGCGAGGCGAGGATCTGCGAGATGTTTCTGCTTGTACCCAAAGAACTTAAAAGATGACCATTATCATGATGGCTACAACTGTTCCTTAATCTTGAGCCATGAAGCTGTGCAAAAAGTTCAAAGTCAAACAGGGAGGAAGCCAAAGGGATTCACTGCAATCTGACTCCTTGGATCTTGGATGCCAACTTGCACTGCTGTCTTCTCACTTCTACCTGCATCATCTTACTTTGATGGCTTTGTTCGCGCACCTCAGTGCATCACATGTCTGAACGTAGAACTTTCACATCGCTCAGAGCTGGACCTCTTTGAGAGCTGAAAGCAAGCGTCTCGAGTCCTGATGCACAGCAAGTGACCACGGATAGTGCAAAAGTCAAGTGGCCACGGGTAGTTGCTCCAGTTGCTTGTCCTCCCGCACTTGCTGCGCAACCATCTTGTTCTCTCTAAACTTTTCAAGCCGGGGAGCCTGAGGACTGAAATCAAAGAGTTCAGTCGTGAGTCGTATGTCGATCACATGTCCCGCGTGTCTTACTTACCTATGTGCAGCTCTGTGCCTGAGTGTGCTGGAGACTGGCTCTGATATGGCGGGCTCTTTCCTTTAGCGCCTCCCAGGACTTTCCTTTGGTTTGAATGGTTGTCTTCCCTAATTGCTGTACAGCATGGAACATTTCTTGATCTATTCGACGGTTCTCTCTCCTCATGATGCTCCTCAACATCCCTTCGGAATTGAAGCTGCTCTTCCTGCAGGTTTGGGTTGCACTCACAGACTGCTGCGGAAAATGCTGGTTATACAGTCTACGAACAAAGGAATACTGTTTGGTCCTTTCTTATCTCGCGCTGCCACTGTGCAAACTGTGCCTGAGCAGTGCAAATTGTGCGTATGGTTCATCTTTTCACACACGACGCGGACCTGCTCATTTCCTCTCCGCTGCAGAAGCTTCACGTCCTCGTTCTGACGTAGCAAAACGAAACACAATCGTTTTAGTACTGCAAATAGCTGAATTTCAAGTGCAAAATGTTCTTTCTGATCTCGGCTTGTTGGTGAAGCTTCAAACATTGTCACCAAGTGAAGTTGAAAGCTGCACTTGGAGCATGAAGCTCCCAAGTTCCCATGCTCTCATGAAGTCCTTCCAAGCTTGATGCTCCTGGGCATGCAAGAGCTGCACCCGAGCGCGCACAGCCTTTAGACGCTGGTCTTGTGCTGCCTGAAAAACAATAAAAACAGAAGTGGAGCAACATTTGATGGGGTTGGTCACCGTATTTGTAAAGTTTGGCAAGAGGGGAGTCTGAGAGGCTCTGAGGCAAGCACTTTAGCTTTTATTAACCGTTTGATGTCCGCTGCCCCTGGCATGTGGCATGAGTCCTGTGCAGCCAACTCTCAAGCAGAAATGCACATGGCACGAGCAGCAAAGTGTCAATCCATCATCGTGCGAGACTCGCACATGTGCACCAATCAAACGACGTGTTCGGTCCCTGGAGGACATGTCTGCTGACGGAGTGGAAAACCTCGGCCACTGGACAAGCCAGAAAAACACATGAGGAGAAACACATTGAGAAACACATTTGTAAGTTTGATGCGAACCATGCTGCAGCTCCCCATGAGCGTGTTCCACAGGAACTTTTGCCATCTTTCCATGCAATCCACACCGTCAAAGTTCTAAAATGCAAGTTCAAAAGTTCTGACTTCGAATGTGTTCCAGCCAGTTTTGCTGTTGACTCTTGACAGTTCTTCATAGAACAACATAAATGCTCTGATTACACTCCGTTTTTCTGCATACTTTGCTTTTTCCGCCCATAGTGATTGAAACTCAAGACCACACAGCACACGTGTTTCTTTGCTACTCAAATAGACCCTGCCGATGAACCTTGAGCACTGCAAATGTGTTCCAAACTGGAACGAAAACACTTTGGGCACCAATCAATCTCCGATACCAGGTTGGGTTGATGGTTTCCTCCAAACTTCAAAACTGAAACACTCGAACTGCACCGCAAAACTGTTGACAGCTGGTATCCCAAAGAAATTGACACCAGAAAACACCTTTTTCACATCGCAAACGCGTCGAACAAAATGTCTTTTGTCATAGAATGATGTTGGGCATGGCATGGCCAAAATGTTGCGAAAGAATTAATATAATTTCCAACGACTGCCAAGACTGCGGTCGCATGTTGAATCCAACGGATTTGCACTTGCAAAAACAATTACGGGCTGCATCTAGCATGATTGCATCTCCAGCATCGATTTGTGGTCGGAGGTCTAACTTTAAAACACACTACTGTTTTTCACATTGCAAGAGCAAGCATTATTGTTTCGCGATGCAGTTTGTTAGTGCGAAAAACAAAAACATATATGTGCCTGAAAATGTCATAATGTTTGAAGTGGGGAGTGAAAAAACACCACAACTACACGTTTCACATTGTAAGAGCGAGCATGGTTCTGCAACGCACCTCGCAAAAGCAAACAGAACAACCAAAACTTGAAAATGTCTGAAGCGGCAAATCTGTTAAGAAAGAATTGGTTCTCACCTCGGTAGAATACAAGTCTCACCTGTTATGTAGGGGTGCTTCAAAAAAAACCACTGAGAAGAAACAATTTTTGCATATTGAAACCACTTGGCTTTGACTGAGCCCCACAATGTTCAATCAACATCTATGTATATATATATATGTACTGAAATTACATTATTTCAAAAAAATATCTATGTAATATATATATATATAATCCAAGATACTATATATAATATATTGTATAAAAAATATAAGATACAATCTATAAATATAGTACAAAGTGTTTCTTAGATAATATACAACAAATAATGCACAATAAAAAATATAGTACATAATGTATTATACACTATATATGTTTTTTTCTATATACCATGTACTATACACTATTTAAAATAGATATTACATATAGCTATATAATATATATAATGTTGTATATCATATATACAAACACATGTATAAATATAAACAGATAGAATATTTTTCCCGAGACCGCCTGCGAAGGGTTCTTCTTAAAAAACATCTGTAGAACTACGTCTCATCCACATCTTCACATCTTCACCTCTGCACAACTACGTCTCATCTGCATCTCATCTAAATCTTCACTTTAAAGCATCTCAAACAAGCTTCAAAATGACTCTCAAGCTCACCTCTTATTCATCAAGAGACTGCTCAATTCTCTCATAGTGAATGTGAGCTCTTCATTCTTCGAGCTTGGAATGATGCATGAGCAGTAAGTGGAAAAACAGCACACGACAAAGCCAGAACGCAGACAGTGCAACGTTTTTCACATTCACTGACACAAATTAAAGTTTGCGCCTTGAGAAAGCTTCAGCTGCTCGACGATGACCCACGTTTCCTTGTCCTTTGGCGCTCACAACAACTCAAACGATCCATAGCAAGGAAAACTTCTCATCTTTGACAGCCTTACCATCATTGTGAAACTGTAAAAAAAACATCGGCCATGGGCTCAAGAGCCTATGCGCGTCAAATCTGAGCCTGAGGATGTGAAAGCTGCACCATGCGGTGTGCCATGCCCAGCTGTCTGCATGTGTTTACAGTTGCATGCATGTTGGAGTGAATGTTTGACCAACGCAAGGTGCTTTCCATCTGTGCGTGTCCAACTTATTCAAACTCCATCGCTCCATCCTCTTGAAGGTGAGCCAAAAACAAACGTGGTTCGTCCGAAAAACGACGTTCAAACGATTCCAGCAAGGCTCACCTAGTGCTTGCTTCTTTAGGGTATTTTCGTTTTGAAAGTGCTTGGGGTTGGAGCTGAGTGGAGATCTTTGTCCTTTTTGTTTTTGACCTTCGGACCACCTTAGCAGGAGGATGTTTGAAGTGGCAACTTGTGGCTAGGAATAGCTTAGAGAACCTTTTGGTAGAGAGCGAGGTCTTTGGAGAGTGTTTGAGATAGTTCTGTGTAGTTTCGCGTAGCTTTGAGATGACTATGAATAGTCTGGTACTCTTTTGAGAAGAGTGGACAAGCTTAAGAGAAGCTTTGAGAACGTTTGAGACAGTCTACACCGACTGTGACTTTGGCTCAACAACCGGAATCGAAAAGGCGAGCTTGCGCTGCCGTGTTTTCACACGCATTGCGTGCCTGGAAGGTTGTGTTTGGTTGCTTTTGTCTTCCCCCTCTTCTGGGTTTCCTCCCAAGTGATGACATCAGCCACTGGGTGCACCCACGAGGTGTGTCCAAGGATCCGTTAGGGTCGTCACGCTGAAAAGTGTGGTGTCTGAGGAAACACAAAATGTGTTTCCTCGCCTTCTGTTGGGTGCTAGATAGATGGGTTGGACGTCACGAGAGTGACTTTTAGGTCCAATGGAATCCACCGTAGGTTCGTTCGCCATACACTGTACACGCGCGCTGTACGCTATGTTTCACACCCCTTCTTGGGTCGCATAGCGCTACCTCCTCTCTTCTTCTGTCTTCTTCTCTTCTTCTATTCGTTTTCTTTGAGCAACTAAGGATCAGACATCAACTAAGATCCATACTTTTGTCCTCAAAGATGGTCTCAATGCTATCAATCCAGAGGTAAACTCGAGTCCATCCCAAGCAAAACTCCAGATCCAACAAAGAGTCAACTTCAACCCTCAACCAACACGCAAAAGAAGGATCCCTCAGGGGCCAGCCATGAGATCTCAGGGTCAGATCCTTTCTACATGGCCTTCTGGTCTCATCATCGGGACCCTCAAACGCAAAAGCCTTCAAGGACAAACTTACCTGTCAGCTCAGGATGCAAAAAGGCTATCTAGAGTTACTATGCCGTGCAAACCTCTATCCTCAAGACCTGACAAGTACACAAAGCTGCAATCAACTGCAAAAGATGAAATCCCAAGAAGCTATCTAGAAGCAAACTTGCAATGAATCACAAGTGAACTCACAAGAAACTCGCTGAAAGCTGAACCTGCGATGAACAAAGCTGTAAGCAACTGCAAGTGAAATCACAAGAGACTCTCTAGAAGCTGAACTTGCCATGAACTAAGTCGCAATTGTCATTCACAAAGTGAACTCGTCATGCCAGCAAATCCATGCTCTACACTCTACAACCCTCTTGCCACACAGCACGGGTCTGATTTGGCCTGCCAATCTGAACTTTCCTTTCTTTTTCCTTTCTCTTGCTTTCTGTTGCTTTCTCTTGCTTCCCAAC